GTCCCCCTTCTTCTTCATGAGCTGGGTTCCCGTCCACGCCAGGAGCTTTCATGGCCTGCGTGTCGCACAGAGCCTCGCGGAGCATCTCGGGCGACAAGGGCGGATATCGAGTGCATGCTCCGTCGTGGAGTGGGTGGGGTAGGCAGAGACCCCGACAGGCTCCTCCCAGTCGCTGGCCCTGAAGATGTTGCCGTACTTGCGCTCCAGGAGCTCCTTGATCCTCGGCGGGTCGCCCTCGATCTCCCCCTCCGTGTTCATCAGCTGGTTGTGGATCGGGCCAGGCTGAGCTCGGCGAGGCGCTCGTTCTCGGGGATTGCCCGCCTCGTGTAGGCAGTGCTGCAGGGCTCTGTTCGCGGTCCGGATCTTCCTGCGCATCCTGATCATGTCCTTGCTGTAGATCGCGCGCTGCCCGCGGCCGCGGGTGACCCGCCGACGCGCCTCCAACGCCCGCAGCGTGTCTGCATGAGCTCGTGGCCCTCGGGGAGCTTGGGGACCTTCCTCGCAGGCGGGCCCCTGCCACAAGCAGCGGCAGCCAGGTGCACCGCGTCCGTCATGGAAGTGATCGGCGCTGGGTTGCGGTCGGCGTAGCAGGCGCTGTGGCTCCAGCGCTGGAAGCGGTTGTCAAGGCATGTCCAGTCCTGCATAGGCGCGCGACCTCCGTTCCAGATGTTGCGCCTCCGGGTGCCGAGGGTGAACTCCAGCTTGATGGCCGAGTGGTCGGATTGCGCGCTGTCGGTGATCTCCTCGAGCGTAGTGCAGACCTTCCAGATGTCGCGAGCAGGTATCAAGACATGGTCGATCTGGGCTGGCGGGTGCTTAAAATCGCAGTGGCAGGTGGGTCCGCTGGCCGCCGCGGTGAACGTGTTCGTCGCCGCCAGGTCGTGCTGCGTGAGAAGTCTCGTCGAAATCTCGGCGCAACGCGTGGGCTGGCCGACTGGGAAGTCCGCAATCCAGCGCTCCTCGTCCGCCTGCGGTGGGGGCAGGGCCGTCTGCGCGTCCGCGCCCACGATCGGGTGCGCCCCAGGCGGTGCCATCATGATCAGGTCGGAAAGCTCCTCCATAGAGTCCTCGTACTGAGTGAGGGAGCGTCCTGGAAAAATTAGCCTGGCGAAGGACCCAACCATCTGCAGCTGCGAGTACCGCACGGATATGAGACGAAGGAGGGGGCACGCAAACTAGGCCCCTCTTCTCATAGGCACCGCGCCACTGCATGGACGAGGCACAGGGCAGCGCGGGCAGGAGGTGGCGGGCGGAGGAGGAAAGCTCACTGGGGCGAGCCAACACATCAGTATCATCATCGCATCATGAGACCTGTTACTGGGCACGCAGGAAGAGGTGGCGGAGACACCGTGTAGATGTCGAAGGCAGGTCAGCAGCGGCAGAGACGAGACTGGGGGGGCCCGCGGTCAAGAAGCAAAAGGAAGCAAGAGGAGCGAGAGACGAGGGGTGACATTTTTGTCTCCGGGCCGATAGCGAGCCACGCAGAGTGCACTGCGCAGGCGGAACCGCTCGAAAGTGGCTGGGGAGTCCCACCGACGCGGTCTGGTCATCCCGACGGAATCCCATCGACGCGCGGGGGTCGTCCACTGCGACTCAAAGTAAACGGATAGCTCCCCCGTGCTGCGCGGCGAGGCGATGCGAAAATTGCGCGATCTGGGTGAAATCCCCCGACAGGCGCCGGTCATCCTCTGGCGAGAAATCCCGACGACGAGCTGGGGTCATCCAAGCGTCAGCGACAACCAGCGCGCGCCGCTGGCTCGTGCGGGGCCGCTTCCCAGGTCAGGCCTCACGGATGAACTCGCTGAAGCCGAGCTCCCTGGCGAGGGCCGTCGCCTCCTTCCTGCACCGCTTCGTGCGCGCAGCAAACTGCTACAGCCCATTCTCCACGGATTACCCCAACGGTTCCAGCCACCCGATAGCCACCCAGACGTGCCAACGCATGTGTCACCAGAGTCTGAAGCTCCCCCCGACCTTCGGTGGAGATCCCTATAGGGCCACGAAACGTGTGAGGGGTGTGCCGAAATGGGTGTTGGGGAGTGCCGAAATTGGTGGTGGGGAGGCACGCGAACCCTGCCACTGGGGCCTTCGGTGGAGCTCCCTGTTGGGGCCACGAAACGTGTGAGGGGTGCGCCGAAATAGGTGGTGGGGAGGCATGCGGACCCTGCCACTGGCGCCTTCGGTGGAGCTCCCTATGGGGCCACGAAACGTGTGAGGGGTGTGCCGAGATGTGTGGTGGGGAGGCATGCGAACCCTGCCACTGGGGCCTTCGGTGGAGCTCCCTATGGGGCCACGAAACGTGTGAGGGTGTGCCGAAATGGGTGGTGGGGAGGCATGCGGACACTGCCACTGGGGCCTTCGGTGGAGTTCCCTGATTATGGGGCCACGAAACGTGTGAGGGGTGTGCCGAAATGGGTGGTGGAGAGGCATGCGGACCGTGCCACTGGGGCCTTCGGTGGAGTTCCCTATGGGGCCACGAAGCGTATGAGGGGTGTGCCGAAATGGGTGGTGGGGAGGCATGCGGACCCTGCCACTGGGGCCTTCGGTGGAGCTCCATATGGGGCCACGAAGCGTATGAGGGGTGTGCCGAAATTGGTAATGGGGAGGCATGCGGACCCTGCCACTGGGGCCTTCGGTGGAGCTCCTTATGGGGCCACGAAACGTATGAGGGGTGTGCCGAAATGGGCGTGGGTGACGATGACGATGATGATGACGATGATAATGATGATGCTGATGATGATGGTGGTGATGATGATGATGATGACGATGACGACGACGATGATGATGATGATGATGATGACGATGGGAAGAGGGAGGAGGGGGAGGAGGAGGAGGAGAGGAACGCGGGGCACCGTCTCTTCAAAACGAGGACCCAACACCACAGGATGGTTGGGAATAAGTATGTGGGTTTCCTCGGCCGCGCAATTGCAAGGTTGGTGGCCCCTAAGAGCCTAGGCCCAGGACGCCAGGAGGCTGGCGGTGTCAGGCGCGGTGTGGGCGCGGTGGGAGGGGTGCTGCCGCGGTTTTGCAGGGTGGGTGGCCCCTAAGAACCTAGGCTGGGGACGTCAGGAGGCTGGCGGTGTCAGGCGCGATAGGGGGCGCGGTGGACGGGGTGCCGGCGAAGTTTTTTGCAGGGTGGGTGGCCCCTAAGAGCCTAGGCCCAGGACGCCAGGAGGCTGGCGGTGTCAGGCGCGGCGGTGGCGCGGTGGGGGGGGGGCTGGCGAGGTTTTTGCAGGGTGGGTGGCCCCGAAGAGCCCATGCCCAGGACGCCAGGAGGCTGGCGGTGTCAGGCGCGGTGGGGGAATGGTGGGCGCGCGGTGGGGGCGCGGTGAGGGGTGTCGGTAAATGTTGGGCCAGAAATTGTCGCGTGGGGGGTCCCAATACTGAGCTGCGGACCCTGCCACTGGGGCCTTCGGTGGAGCTCCTTATGGGGCCACGAAGCGTATGAGGGGTGTGCCGAAATTGGTAATGGGGAGGCATGCGGACCCTGCCACTGGGGCCATCGGTGGAGCTCCCTATGGGGCCACGAAGCGTATGAGGGGTGTGCCGAAATTGGCGTGGGTGACGATGATGATGACGATGATAATGATGATGATGATGATGCTGATGATGATGATGATGATGATGATGATGGTGCTGATGATGATGATGATGATGGTGATGATGATGATGATGATGATGATGACGACGACGAGGATGATGATGATGATGATGATGATGATGATGATGATGATGATGATGATGATGATGATGATGATGATGATGACGATGGGAAGAGGGAGGAGGGGGAGGAGGAGGAGGAGGAGAGGAACGCGGGGCACCGTCTCTTCAAAACGAGGACCCAACACCACAGGATGGTTGGGAATAAGTATGTGGGTTTCCTCGGCCGCGCAATTGCAAGGTTGGTGGCCCCTAAGAGCCTAGGCCCACGACGCCAGGAGGCTGGCGGTGTCAGGCGCGGTGTGGGCGCGGTGGGAGGGGTGCTGCCGCGGTTTTGCAGGGTGGGTGGCCCCTAAGAACTAGGCTGGGGACGTCAGGAGGCTGGCGGTGTCAGGCGCGATAGGGGGCGCGGTGGACGGGGTGCCGGCGAAGTTTTTTGCAGGGTGGGTGGCCCCTAAGAGCCTAGGCCCAGGACGCCAGGAGGCTGGCGGTGTCAGGCGCGGCGGTGGCGCGGTGGGGGGGGGGGCTGGCGAGGTTTTTGCAGGGTGGGTGGCCCCGAAGAGCCCATGCCCAGGACGCCAGGAGGCTGGCGGTGTCAGGCGCGGTGGGGGAATGGTGGGCGCGCGGTGGGGGCGCGGTGAGGGGTGTCGGTAAATGTTGGGCCAGAAATTGTCGCGTGGGGGGTCCCAATACTGAGCTCTCGTGAGGCTGGGGTGCCGGGGCGCGGAGGGGGCGCGGTGGAAGGCGTCGAGATCCCTGTCGCATAGGAGTAGTTTGTGCAAAAGAGATGTCGCACACGCCTCTGGTGTCGGCGGATTCTCTTGGGAATCGACGATTTATTATGTATGTGTGTGTTTTCCCCCTCCCGAAATGCGAGGGCCACGGAGGGTCTGGTTCGAACAAGTCGGAGCACACCAGGGGGCCATTGGACCGTCTTGAGGCCATGCTGTACCGTACTGGGTCCATGCTGGGCCGTCTTCGGGGCATCTTGGAGGCAGTTGTTAGCCGCTTTGGGATGGGCCGATGGGATGGGAGCCTCAGGCGAAACTGTCATGGGCCGATGGGATGGGGGCCGCACAGGTGGCAAAACGCATGCGCCGGGACTTCATTGAGATCCTTGTGAAACACGTTCAAGCGGGTAGCACTCGGCACGCCAACAACCCCTCTCGCAACCAACAGGGGGCGGAGGATATCATGGAAATCGGGACATCCCACAACCGTCCTGGGCTATGGGCAAGAGGCCTTTTTGGTGCCTCTTGGGTGCCTCTTGGAGTCTCGTGGATTTCCTTCAGGCTGGAGCGGTCTTACGCCTTCAATTGCCAAACATCCTGGCTCACGACCACTTTGGCTCAAGGCATTTCGTGCTAGGCGTTTATGCCAGGTTTCCTGTTGATCACCAGAGCTCAGCTGTCTCGGGCTGGACTCAACTCAGCTGGTCCGAGGGCTCCGGATCGAGTCCCGCTCCCGATGGTGTCGGCGACCGCTCGCTCCGTTGTTGCCGTCGTCCTTCTCTTTGCGCTGGCTGCCGAGGGCAAGGTTGAGAGCAAGTTCTGGGGATTTCTTGACGACGTGGCGGGGGGGGGAAGGAGAAGAGCGACGTCACTACCGTGGCAGAGATACTCGAGCACGGCGGCAGCATTTCAGTCGAGGATTGCGGCACGAAGGCGGACGTGATGCACGCTTCGCGCTCCCAGTTCTACAGGAGCCGCATGCAGGTGCGCGTCTACGGCAACCTTTCGCGCAGCGTCTCGGGAGGGACCATCGGCGTGAAGATTTACAGAAGCTCCGCTGCCGAGGGGTCGTCGACGGGAGACTGGATGAAGCGCGAACTCGCGTGGCACAGCGTCCCCCATAGTTACGAGGAGGACTTGTGCAAGCACTTCGGCAAGAGCCACAGCCAGCGTGGATGCCCCTTCCTCTCTGGCACGACCGAGCTCCGCTTCGCCATCGACAAGCTGCCGCCAATGGTGGTCGCGGGCTCGTACAGGTTGAAGATAAAGGCCGTCGATACTTCCGCCAAGCAGGTGGCCTGCGTGCGGGCACATGTGGAGATCCCGCGCGGCAAGAGCGGCGAGATATTCCGCAGGGTCCAAGCAGTGAGCGCCACCCGTCGTGGGCGTGCTCTGGAGGTCGTCACTAGGGCTTGCTCTTGTGACTTATCGGACCCGGTGTGCGGCGACGATGGCAACACCTACGAGAGCATGTGCCAAGCCCACTGCGCAAGAGTCGATGTAGCGTATCCGGGCAAATGTGGAGATCAGGTAACAACCTTTGGCGGGAGAGCGGTGTCGGGCGCCGCGGGCTTCGGTCGCGCGGGCAAAGACAAACAGAGTTTTTTTTCCGAGGCGGCGGCCCACGACGGCCCAGGCTGGAGTCGCAGGCTGGAGCCGCAGGCGACGACCACGATCACGACAGAGAGTTCCTGGTTCCATTATGATGCTGGGTTGGGGCCGTGCGCTGGAGTCAATTATTCTCTTACTTCGTATCCACTTTTCAACCATGATGTCACTGGATGCAAGTATGCTTGTGAGATCAATCCTGAGTGCAATAGCTTCATGTACTTTCGATGGGTGGACGACTTGAACGAAGCATATTGTTTTCTCCAGTGGTATGACGCGACTCAGTCGTTCGATAATTGCGCAGACTCTCCATGCGAAGGGTGGTCCTCGGAGGCTGATTCTTATGATGTTTACTGGTACTTCAACGGATGTATGCAGCCATCCCCGACGCCAGCACCACCGCCGACTCCCCCTCCGTCTCCGTGCGTGGATACATCGGATGGAGCGGTTGGGCCAACTCTGTTCGCACCAGAGCCAGACATGGAGCCTCCCAACGTGACCTTTGATTGCGAGTTTTGGGTGATGGTTGTGGCGGCATCGGATTTGGGCAGTGCTGTGTGCGGGTACTCCTTCGCTTATGACGACTCCGATTTCACAGCCACAGAGATGTGCTGTGCATGCGGGGGTGGTTCAGATCCGAGCGCTTCAACCATGGCGACAACAACGTTGCTCGGACCCTCGGTCAGCACGCCCGGGCACGAGCCCGAGATGGAGCGAACGACGACCCTGAAGGACTCCGACTTGGACGTGCCGGAGCCAGAGCCGGAGCCCGAGATGTGGTGGACGACGACCCATAAGGATTGGCATTGGGACATGCCAGAGCCAGAGCCCGAGCCCTGGACGACGACGCAATGGGATTGGGACGATACGGACGATTGGGGCGACATGGACGATTGCTGGTGCGACGACATTTTGTGGCCAGTCTGCGGAAATGATGGCACAACTTACAGCAGTTCATGCTACGCTGATTGTCTTGGCGGTGGCGTTTGGATGGACGGGGAGTGCGATTGCATCGACTGCACGGTAGTCGACGCGGCTCAAATCCCCACCTTCGCCCTCACGTTCCTCATGTGTTTGTTGGCGCTACTACTGTAAGGGCTGCGTTGCATGAAGCTGTCCAGATTGGTTCCATGTCCGTAGAGCCTGGGGCATGTAAGTTGCCGCCAGTTGCCTCATCTGCCTCCCCGTTCTCCCTTATTCGTCTCCCTCGCTGGGCCTTCTCACGACTGTTCCGTTTCCTTGATTCCTCCATTTCGCACGGGGCTCGAGTGTAAGGTCAGCAGCGCACTCCGTGCCACGATCGTGCATCCCAAATGCTGTAGTTGCCGCAGCATGAGGCCCGTCGTTTTGGATCATGCCGACCTCGGCCCACTACACTGCCAGCTGGGTGGGCGAGGCTCGACGAGGGAGTTGTTGTGGTGTAGACCGAACCCTGTGACCCCCGAGACGCGAGTGGTGTCATATCTCTGTGAGACATCCTCCAAACAGAAGTCCAGGTTTTTCTCCACATGCTTGGTGGGGTTTTGGTTTTTCCCCATATCCTAAGATGGGGTTCTTGTTATTACTTGGACGCCTCCTACTCCTTCTCCTTCCTCCTCCTCTTTTCTCCTCCCCTCCTGTCGGACATACTGAGACTTGCTCATACACAGACTTACTCATACTCAGATTTACTCATACTCAGACCTACTCATACTCAGACTTACTCACACTCAGACATACGCATATACAGACTTACTCATACACAGAGTTACTCATACACAGTATTAGTCATACCCATACGTACACATACACAGACTTACTCATACACAGACTTACTCATACTCAGCACCCCTAAGGGGAGCCGCCAGGGGTGGTTGCACGGGCTCGTTCGCGGCCATTTTGTGGGGATGTCTCAGGCGGTTTGCCTGTTTCTGTGCCCAACATCCTTCGCTTTCGGAGCAGATTTGGAGGATGTCTCGAGCGAGGCGCTCATTTCAGCACCCCTAAGGGGAGCCGCCAGGGGTGGTTGCACGGGCTCGTTCGCGGCCATTTTGTGGGGATGTCTCAGGCGGTTTGCCTGTTTCTGTGCCCAACATCCTTCGCTTTCGGAGCAGATTTGGAGGATGTCTCGAGCGAGGCGCTCATTTCAGCACCCCTAAGGGGAGCCGCCAGGGGTGGTTGCACGGGCTCGTTCGCGGCCATTTTGTGGGGATGTCTCAGGCGGTTTGTTGTTTCTGTGCCCAACATCCTTCGCTTTCGGATCAGATTTGGAGGATGTCTCGAGCGAGGCGCTCATTTCAGCACCCCTAAGGGGAGCCGCCAGGGGTGGTTGCACGGGCTCGTTCGCGGCCATTTTGTGGGGATGTCTCAGGCGGTTTGCCTGTTTCTGTGCCCAACATCCTTCGCTTTCGGAGCAGATTTGGAGGATATCTCGAGCGAGGCGCTCATTTTCACCCCCCAGGTGGGCCAGGTTTTGGTGGCCAGGCTCGTGGGCGCAGATTCTTCTCAGGATGCCACAGGAGGCTCCAACAGGCTCCAGGAGGCTCCAGGAGACCACATGAGGTCCCAGGAGGCATCAGGAGACCACAGAAAAACTCAAGAGGCCACAGGATGTCCCAAGAGGCTCCAGGAGGCTCCAGGAAGCTCCAGAAGGCTTCAGGAAACCACAGGAGACCCCAGGAGACACCAGGAAGCGCCAGGGGGCCTCGGAAGGCAACAGGAGGCCCCGAGAGGCCCCAGGAGCAGGAGGCCTCAGAAGGCAACAGGAGTGGTTCCAATCCCATGTGTTTTACGTATGCTCCTATCGATTGGGCCTCACCTGGAGCACGATTCTTTGATGTGCTACGTATGTTTCTATAGATGGTCCTTCTCCTGTGTACACAATCCTAAATGTTTTACTCATGTTCCTATGTATTGGGCCTCTCCTGGGGCACGAGTCCTTGGTGTTTTACGCGTGTTCCTATAGATTGCCCTTCTCCTGTGGCTCTAATCCGCAATGTTTTATGTACGTCTGTTGCTATAGATTGCGCCTCCCCTGGGGCACGAAACCTTCCTAGGAGGTCCCAGGGGGTCCCAAGAGGCTCCTGGAGACCCGAGGAAGCCCCAGTAGGTTTCAGGAGGCCCCAGGAGGCCCAGGCTCATGCACAGAGACGCGCTCGTACTACTGAGGCTCAGTCACACTCCAATTCAGTCGCAGTTAGATTGATGTCCAGACCGTCACAACTGAAGCCCGTTAATATTCGAAAGCTCTTGCGCCTGGACATTCACGGCGGACAGGTCCATGCGAGTAGATGCACATATGGGGAGCTCCACGCAGTGAATAATCTTCTCTTCCGCGTCCCACCCACGTTCCTCCGCCTCCTCACCCCTCTTCCTGCCTCGTCGCGCCCGCGTTTTCCTCTCTCACCTCCTTCTCTCCTCTCCTCTCTCCTCCTCCTCTTCCTCCTCCTCCTCCTCCTCCTCCTCCTCCCGTAGCCATTTTGGCTCAAGGCGCCTGGTGGCCAGGCACCAGGGCCGGGGGCGGACGCGCTCCCCTGGCCCCGCGGGGCCGCTCCCCCTCGGCCCGCCGCGGCCGCGCCTTCCTCCCCTCCCTGGCCGTGCCGTCTGAAGATAGCTGGCCTGAATCGATTGCCACCATTCCGCCAGCCTCCACTCCGCCTGCATCCCCTGGAGGTGCGAACATGGAGGGAGTGAGGGACACCGAGAAGATCCTCGCTGCCATGCATGACATGATCGCTCCTCTGTCGTCGTCGGTCGCCAGCTTATCCAGTCAGTTGAAACGTGGAGTGCAAGAGATAAACCGACAGATCTCGGGAATCCAGGGTCAGATGATCGCAGCAGAGAAGAATTTCCAGACACTTCAGCAGGCACGCACGGAGCTGGCAAAGCAGACAGCCTCGATTTTCGAGCAGATGCGCGCGATCCACGAACAGGCCCTCTTGCAGTGCATCCAGGACCGTGAGACCGCTGAATCTGCCCTTCGGGATGAGCTCAAAGGGATGATCCAGACGATGCGTGACGAGATCCAGGATATTCAGAAAGTCGTCGGGCTTGGGTCCCCGACACCTCGTGGGGAAGAAGAAAGGCAAGTCCGTCGGAAGATTGAGTCTGGGCTTGTGGGGAACCCCTCGCGTCTTGCGGCTCTGGGATTTCCACGGCCGCTGATGGAGAAAACGCTCCGTGAAGCCGCCCAGAGCATCATCTCCCGCTGTGCTCCGTCCTCGTCTCAGGGTTCGATCCATGTCAAGGCCTTCGATTGCAGCGAGAAAGTATTCCTGGACTTTGATTCCAACCTAGAGGCCGCAACGTTCCATGGGACGGCGTCGTCCGCGGGCGCGTTCCCTTTCCCGAACCCTGAGGGCGGTCCCGACTTACAGCTACGGGCCCGACGCGATCTTCCCCCCTCCTCCAGAAAGATGTTCTACTACTTCGGGAATATGCGACAGCATGTCTCCAGAATCTTCGGGGCGGACAAAGTGGGGTCCACGGGGCTAGGAGGTGCAGTGTATGTGATGAAGGGCAACGGAGTCCCGGTGCCTGTGGTTAAGATTTCTATTGTTGATGATGGTCCAGCCGCGGGCACGGTGCAGCGTGGCGTCGAGATTGATGGGTTGACGGAAGTGGGAGGGCAGCAGCATGCGCAGTGTCTGCGCACCAGGTTCGCAGAGATCCGCCCCTTTCGGTGAGTATCCAAACAGTTCGACAGGTGAGTGTGCGGTGGTGAGAAGTCCAGTGGGTTCTGCTACTGAGTGCTCGTCCGCCCTCTCCGCCCAATTTGATGGACTCCATGCAAGTGACAGTGCTCTATCCTTCTCGCCGCCTGCTGGGGAAACTGGTGGTGCCTACCGTCCTGCCCGTCCGCTGTCCCTCTGCAGTTGGAACACGCGCGCGCTCTTCGCCTCTCTCTCATCTCGCTCATCTCGGTCACGTTCGCGCTTCCTTCGGGCCAAGCAGCTGCTCTCACAGTATCAGGTCATGTGTTTACAGGAGACGCACGGATCTGAAGCAGACTTGGGTATCCTTCGGGACGAAATGCGGGCTGGGCAAATGTTTGGGAGCTTTCTGGAGGATCGAAACGCGGGGGGAGTGGTGGCCTCCCTGTCTTCGGAACTCTGTGACTGCTTCGACTCGATCGCTCCGAGTACGGTCGTTCCTGGGCGAGTGTTACTTGCCCATTGACGGGGAGCTCGAGGCGACTTGGTAGTGGTCAATGTTCATATGCCTAACACGTGCGATGACGTTCGTATCTATCATCAGCACTTACGCCTCATCAATGCCGCTCTTCCTGCGGCAGCGCATACCATGGTTTTCATTCTGAGACTGGAACTTCTGTACGATGGAGGATGGTAGGTCTCTTGTATCTGGGGAGGTTGGGCCTGGGGACCGCTTGCACTGCGATGCTTTTCAGGGGCATTGTAGCCACTGGTGTGAATTGTACCAGCCCGACCCGACCAGAAGGGATATTGTGAATCGGGAACTGAGGGGGTTGGCCAGGTTAGATCGGGTTTACACGACCCTTCCTGCAGGTATTCTCAATGAGATGACCGTTGTTGTCAACGCTGTCGGCGCCATCATGCATCCAGGGGCCTCCTCCGATCACATTCCAGTGACGGCCACGGTTTCCCTCCCGACCCCGAAGGGTCGTTTCTCGGTTCCGAAATGGATCAGCCAGCATGCCGACTACCACAGATTGGTTTCCGAACAGCTTCGGGAGCTGACGCCCCCATCGGACCCCGCTCAGAAACTCGCGAGGGTGAAAGAAGTTTTTGGTACGGCAGCTGTGGAATTTAAGAAGGCCTTTAAGTGCCGACCAGCGGGCAACGATGCGGAACGGCTGCACTTTGCATTCGTGGCATACCGTGGGTGGAGGGGTCGGCAGTGGTATCTCTGTCTTCGCGCCATCCGTTGCTGCGCCTCTCTCCTGCCTTTCTTCGACGTCGACGGCCAGTCTGGTACTAACCTTGAAGGGGCGCTGGTTTGATGCGGGATTGGAGGAGGTGGATCATAGTAACCAAGTGGAGGAGTTCAGGGCCAAGAAGAGGCGGGGGCTGGTTGCTCTTAGGCGCGGGTGGGATCTCATGAGGAGGAGGACTGGACTGCTAGGCGTTCTGGACGAGAGCGGGACCCCGTGTACCTCCCCAGAAGCGGCTTCTGCGGCACTGGTTGCCCATTGGAGCAAGGTCTTTGCACAGGCTGATTACGACCCGACTCATTGGGAAGAAATACTGACCCATGTTCAGACTATTGGCGGCTGTACTATTGCCCCACGGTGGAAACTTGACGCGGATGAGTTTCGGGGCCGTGTCGGCCATAAGTTTCATGCTGCTCCTGGCCCCGACGGGATCCCGTATGGGTGCTGGAAGGTCACCGAGGCGACCGATGCTTTATTCGAGGTTTATGAGGAGGTTTTCAACAGTGGAGGATGGGCTCTCCCATCTGAATGTC